GGGGGGTCGGGTGGAAGGAGATGAATGATCGGGGGGTCGGGTGGAAGGAGATGAATGATCGGGGGGTCGGGTGGAAGGAGATGAATGATCGGGGGGTCGGGTGGAAGGAGATGAATGATCGGGGGGTCGGGTGGAAGGAGATGAATGATCGGGGGGTCGGGTGGAAGGAGATGAATGATCGGGGGGTCGGGTGGAAGGAGATGAATGATCGGGGGGTCGGGTGGAAGGAGATGAATGATCGGGGGGTCGGGTGGAAGGAGATGAATGATCGGGGGGTCGGGTGGAAGGAGATGAATGATCGGGGGGTCGGGTGGAAGGAGATGAATGATCGGGGGGTCGGGTGGAAGGAGATGAATGATCGGGGGGTCGGGTGGAAGGAGATGAATGATCGGGGGGTCGGGTGGAAGGAGATGAATGATCGGGGGGTCGGGTGGAAGGAGATGAATGATCGGGGGGTCGGGTGGAAGGAGATGAATGATCGGGGGGTCGGGTGGAAGGAGATGAATGATCGGGGGGTCGGGTGGAAGGAGATGAATGATCGGGGGGTCGGGTGGAAGGAGATGAATGATCGGGGGGTCGGGTGGAAGGAGATGAATGATCGGGGGGTCGGGTGGAAGGAGATGAATGATCGGGGGGTCGGGTGGAAGGAGATGAATGATCGGGGGGTCGGGTGGAAGGAGATGAATGATCGGGGGGTCGGGTGGAAGGGGCCCCTGCGGAGCAGTGATGACTTCCTTTCTCTGGGTTATGCAGGGAGTGCGGAGCCGGAACATTCGTCAATTTTGCCACTCTGGAGAGAGACGGAAAGCTGCCATATAATTGGTGAGTGTCACTGACCTCGGGATCCGCCCCCAGCAGGTGTCTGAAGTATTCATGATGGAGTTCCCGCCATCCCCTGCACGGGACGTCTGACGACCTGCTGGCGCATTTAAAGGAAAAGTCCCTCATCTGTGTGTGTGGCCAGTTCACATCTACGTGCTGCAGCTTAGAGCATCGCTAATATAAAAGGACAGATCGCATATAAATGACGCAGAACCGCTGAAACGCATGCTAAGGGCAGCCAACGCATGAACTATGTCGCTTTGTGCATTTGAAATACATCTGCAGCATGGAAAGTCTGAATGTTCCTCCCTCAGTCTGCACAATGCATGGACAATACACGCGTGTGACAGAGTGCAGGAACCCCCATCACTGCATGCACATA